GGTGCGGCGCGGCGCCTTGGGCCAACAAATTGGCTGCGCGGCTCCTAGTGCTCGCGCCGGCTTGATTATACCATGCCATAATTGCCCCCGCGCGCCATCCTACGACATCCTGCTCACCGCACAAAATCGCGCCGTTATTGTCGATGCCGTCGTCGGGGTCGTTTCTCCGCACTCGTGCTCGACTCGGTCAAATCAATCAAAAGAAAATATCCTTAATTCCTGCTTAATAAATAAATAATAATAGTATCACCAAGCAAAACGACCGAGGTCCGGGCCGGCTTTACGATCAATAACAGAAAAGAATCACGCGCGCCTTAAACCTGCGCGCCCACGCACTCGCTATTGTGGTCAACCACCTAGTCAACGCAATTACAAACGCAGCCGTACTTAGTGCGGTATACTTAGACTCTAGACCAAAACTATTTTCTGTCACTTGCAAAAACCAGGGCGGAAACCCTTGTAAGGGTATTCGCACCGACAGCGTTGACCCGGGAGTTGACGAGGAGTTGAGCAGGGTTGACCAGGGTTGACCAAGGTGTTGATCGGTAGTTGACTGGGGGTTGACCAGGGACTGACCGGGGGTTGACCGAGGGGTTGACCAGTGTTGACCAAGGCGTTGACCGGAGCTGTTGACCACGAAATTGACCAAGCTGGTGTTTGTATTTTCTCGCCAAGCATTCAGCCTATCCCCTCGCTCTATGGATGTGCACTCACCCGTGGTACTTGTTGAGCCTATCTGTCTCTTCTTTCTACATTGAGTCTCTTCTATCTAGGTGATAGGAACTCTGTGTATGAGGTCGTAGAGCTTTGTTGACCAAACCCACACGGGCTGAATAGGGCTAAAGGCCGTGTCTGACGACTGACTCACGCGGAGGACAAACCCTCCCAAGGACCGGTACAGACAGGCGGGCTGCTCAGTGTGGCATGGTAGGCCCAAAATCCGAGTTGTGGGCTGCACAACAAGTTGTCTAAGTCTTGAGAGGACTTGCTGATCGCGACGTCCTGTCTGCGACGTTAAATAATTCCTGAGGAGTTACGGGGGATCTCCTTAAATGCCTCCTGATCAGCATTGAGTCCTGTAGTGACAGCTTAGTAATAGGTCTAGGCTAGAGACCATAGTTGACAGGGTCCTACCCGGATCCTGTAGTCCTTAGAGAGTCAGTTAGACAGTATGTGGGTAGGTCCAAGTGGTGAGGAGTGGGACAGTCATTGTCGTGCACCAACACCATGAATGACTACCCTATGTACGGCTTGCTCGTGGGGTTCTCCTTGTGGGGGACCCTCTGGCATCTCCTCTTTCCATTAGGCTTCTAGAATGCCTTCACGTGTAGAGTTGACACGAGGGGTGGTGCTAGTACTACTCCCTACACGAAGGAGCAGGAGGAAGAGGCCGCCAGGATTCTGGCCGAACAGAAGGCCAGGAAAGAGAAGAGGGAAGTGGTGAAGCAGGCCAAGAAGTTGGTCTTGTTGGAGGAGCAAGCTGCAAAGAAAAAAAAGTTGGAGGAAGAGTTGGAAAGGCCGAAGGAGGAGGAAGAAAGGTTGAAAGCAATGGAGGCAGAAGAAGAAGATGAGAAAAAGGCAGAAGAGGAAGTTCCCCTGTTCAGAAAGAGTTTCAGGGACAGAGGAGAATCCAGTGGCACGAAGCAGGGGGACCCATGGTTGGAAAAGAAGGTGTCTGAGTGGGTCGCCAATCTATCCTTGGGAGAAGAGGAGGCGGCGATGTTGTACGTCCCCAGGGCAGAACAGGAGGCGATTATAAGGGAGTTGGAAGCCGAAGGAGATCCGCTCAAGCGTCAGACGATAGAAGAGCAAAAAACGTTAAAATGGAAGTTGCATCTGACAAGGGAAAATAAGAAGAGGATGGAGGAGGCGAGTAAGGCAATAAAGGCGTTGGAAGTGGTGAAGGAGCAGAAGGCGCAGATGGAGGCACAGTCGGAGTGGCAGGGGAAGATGGAAGTAATGGCGAGAAACATAGAACTTATAGCAAGGGCCCACGAAGAACAATAACAATTTTCAGAGGGCCAGGAGGTAGCCTTACGATCCATACGATTGGGGTTTAGAGAGTTCGCACGCGAAATGATGATGCACGTGGGCTCGAAGGTGAAGACGAGATTAGAGAATACGGAGCGATTCTGTACAGGGGCCATAGAAGGCGCGAAACTTGCTGCTCCAAGGGAGAAGGAAGTTCGTCCCCGTAGAGAACCTGTGAAGGTGAAGTTCCCTGATTCCTACAACGGGAAGGAGGAAAATTTTGATAACTGGGAGGCAAATGTAAACTCCTACGTACACCTCCAGAAGATAGCTCCTGAGGAACATGTCCTCATACCTTTCCATGCCCTTAAAGACGAAGCAGCTAGCTTCGCTAGATCGCTCTGCCGTGTTGCTAAGTGCAAAAATGATATGGTCGCGTATTCCCAAATTACCCCCCTGAGTGACTTCTTTAAGTTACTGCGCGAGAGGTTTGAAGATGTCACTTAGAGCTTCAGAAAAACTGCAGACCATCCATTCCCGCCAATGGAGGAGTGCTAGGGCACTCAAGGGCGTTATGGATGAACTGATCGCCGTTCCTGACCATGGGGTCATTGAGACTCAATTGGTCAATCTATTCTATTGTGCCATGCCCGAGCCCTTGCGCGGGCATTTCTTTGAGAAGAGTCTTGAGTCTACCATAACCTACGATACTCTTAGTAGGGAGGTGGTAGCATTTGAAGCACGGTCCATGCCAGTTTCCACTTGGAAACTGGCATAAGGACCTTGACAAGGGCAAGAAGTGGAAAGGTCGTACCATCTCTGGCCAAGTCAAGGCCAAGGATCACTTGATCCTAACTTTAGATGAAGGTGGTATGGAACAGGTCCCTTATACACAGATAGAGTGGGGTCTGGAGGAGGATGACAGTGGCGATAGTCAGGGGAGGACGTATGCTGCTGTCGGGGCTGGAGGGAGGCCGCAAGGTTGAGGAGGAGGCCGAGGCCAAGGAGGTCATGCTTCCGGTGGTCGAGGACAGAGCGATCAGGGGGTTGGTGGCAACGGACGTCGCCAAGAGGGAGGTAGGGGTCAAGGTCCCCCGCAAAACCGCTCTAGTTTCAATCGGTCACCTAGAAGGAGTGGATGGCACCCTGGTCGGCCACAAGGCAGGCCTTGGGAGGATCTGGGCTTAGAGCAGGCAGTTTGGCAGCAAAGGATACACCAGGATCAGTGCATTTATTGTGGTGATCCTGGACACATCATAAAATACTGCCCTAGATATAGAGAGGCCCGGCTTGCTGCACAGGCAGCAAAAGGCAGCCGCCGGTAGGGGTTGCAACTGCCCTTACCCCTAGACCATGTGGAGAAGAGTGCGTGTGCGCATGTTACGGACTCAGCCAGGGCTCGATCCCTGGTCCGCGGGTTACCACCCGCCAGGCTACTATTTTATTCCGAGTTCCTGATTTCCGGTTTTGGACTGCTGGCGCCCTCTGCAGTTGGCGCCCGTTCTCAAATTCCTCCACTGGCATTTTCAGATTTCGATACTTGGCGCCATCCGACATTCTGGCGCCCAGACGCAGACCTGCGATCCTCAATTCAGTCCTGAGGCAGGCCGCACCTCGGCCCTCCGGACTGAGTCTGAGTCCGATATTTAAGTCCAGACTCAAGCCCCATCGGGGGATTCAGTCTTCGGCCTCAGTGCTTGTGCTTCAGTGTGACTTGCCGCGACTTTGTGTTCGGAATCCAAGATTGCGACTTTGCGATTTTGAGACTTTGTCACTTCGTGTCTGTGTCCGTCGTGTCGAGTCGAGTCCGTGTCCGAGTCGAGTGAGTGTGTGTGTGTGCTCTCACTCTCTCCCTCTCTCTCTCTCTCTCCCTCGACCTCTCTGCTTTGCCTCGGTCTCATCACACTAGTATCAGAGCGGCAAAACGAACCTCCCTCCCACCCTGCTCCCGCGCCGCCACGTCATCAACATCGTCGTCATCGTCACCGTCTTCGGCGCCGCCACGTCGTCGCCACGTCGTCGCCATCATCGTTGTTGCCACGTCGTCGACATTGCTGCCTCGTCATCGTTGATTGCTGCCATGTCATTGCCATCGCCGTTGTCTTTGTCGCCGCTGACACGGCAGCACCTCGCTGCCTTCGTCGTCGTCGCTGCCATGTCACTGGTCCCAAAGCCGACGTGCAGGTAAGTGACCATTAAATTTTCTTTTACTCTTCTTCTCTTTCTCTTTTCCTTCCTCCTCCCCTCATCTCTTCTTCCTCCCTTCCTCCTCCTTATTATCGTCGCCGTCATCGTCCCTCCTTCTCCCTCCCCTTCTTTCCCCCTCGTTTCCCTTCTCCCTCTTCCTCTTCTTCTCCTCAACCGTCCTTTCAGCCCCCCTCACCGACCCCCGCGCGATTTCCCGGCCTCCG